ATTGTTTTTATTATTATTTCTTATCATTCGTGCGTGTGGAACTATCTTAATCTGTTTCCTTATCTTTTTCTTTACTCGAGATATATTTAATTCTATATTTCTATCTGGATGGAAGTGTAGCTCAAAATCTATCGCTGTGTATCTTCATTCGTATCTGTGAAGTTAGATAATCATCTTTAACACTATCTACATATTTATCTAAATCTGTATTCGTGCCTCGATCTTTTTTCCTAGTTATAAATTTATCTGTACCTCTTTCTAAATCGTTTTTCGTAGACTTATCTGTATCGACCTAATTTGTAATCGTTATTCGTACATGTATCTCTTGTCTTTATCTCTAAATATATCTTTATCTGCAAGTGTATCTGTTTATTTTATTTGTATCTCAAAACTGTTGCTCTAAAGAGCAACTTTTTTGCCCTCATATATTTGTTGCGCTTCCGTTTGTGGCTTCGAGGGCGACGATAATGGCAGACAAGCAAAGGCAGAGAGAGGGAGAGGGAGTCACTTTTCGTTCCGATTGTATCTGTTGCACACACAGATACATTCTGCATGATTTATAAGGTTCTTTTTATATGAGTTTTTTTTGTAGCCCAGACAAAACAGATAATGCCAAGACATTGACCTTTTTTCTTTTGCTTTTGCTTGCGCTTTGAAATACTAAAAACAAACACACAAAAACTTGTCGCAATTTTGTCCCTCTCTCTCTCTCTCTTTCTCTATGCCCGCTCTCTCCCTGGTTCTCTTTCTCTTGTGTTCTGTTGGTTCTTTGTTGTCAGATTAGCCGGCCAGTGGCCAAGTGGATAAACCAGTTTTCGTTTCCTCGTTTTGGCCTCTGCTTCTTGGCTCGACGTTGGCTAATTAGCTAAGAGCTGCTGCTGAGAGGCCCTACCCTGCCCTGCCCTTGCGTTGTGTTTTGTAATGTTGAACCTACGAGTACAAGGCATCTTTTTGGGCAACAAACAAATCAGTTAAAGTGACTTTTGAAATTACTGAAATATATAGATGAAATTTTACCATTTTTACTCTGGCATAACAGATACAAAATATCATAATTAATTTATGTAAGTATATTTTTTGTCTCCTTTAAGACATAATTTAAGGTAATGAAAATTCATCAGCAGAGTAAGGGTGAAGGAAAAAAGCAGAGCAGTTTGGAAAAGATATGAATCGTTTATAAAAGAATTCTCGCAACGGAAGGCATTCTAGCCGATGGAATAGCTTTAGTTTTACTGAAATTAATTATTTAATAGAAATGAACATTGCATTTCTTGTATTTATATTCCAGCTCTTTATAAGCAACAAATTTCACCATAAAAACTGATGATTCCATTCGGCTTCCTCGACATTTTCATGACTCACTGCTCTGTTGGGTCTCTCTCTTTCTCAGAGTTTAACAATGAGTTTACTCTGTTGAAATAAATTAGTAGGATACATACAAAGGTACATACACAGATACATATGTATGTATGTATTTATATGTTGTTATTAGAGACCGGTTGTTAGGCAGGGGGGGGCGGACCTTGACACCTGCCGGTAAGCAACGATTCAACAAGCGAATAAAACACGCTTGAAACGAAGCCAAACTACAGTTGGAATTAAAGAGTTTCTTGCGGATTTTCCACTTCCGAAAGAGCATTGAGTTGGGGGGAAAAACAATTATCCAAAACGGGACACTAAAATGATAAGAGAAACAAAATTGTGGCAGACCCAAAGCCATTTAGACCCTCCCCCCGAGGAGAGGGTAATTATATTTTCTACGCTTTATTGGTTGGGGTCTTATGGTGGGGTGAAAATGTTAAATTTGTTTCTCCGCCTGACTGGCCATTTGTTTCAATGTTATTTTTTGTGTTTATGCGTCTTGTATTATGGTTAATCTTCTTCTATAACTGATTGTTGTACAATTGTGGGTCAAGTGCGAAATGATTATTATGTTAAGATTGTGAAATAACATTGGTAATCCTCAGCATAACAATACTTCATTTCAAAATTCGTCTCATTTTTTATTTTAATTTTATTTGGTGAGATTATTTCTGAAATACACCTTAAAGAAGAACAGAATCCCAGATAAAAATGTGTTCAAAATTAATTTTAATACCACTTCATAAGCGGCGACGCTTACCATTTACGATGATGATGAAAATGATCGACACGAATGCAATGTGAAAAGCACATTTTGAGGACATTATATGCAGCGACTGGGATCCAATGTGGTTGCAGGGGAGGAATCAACAGATTCTCTGTTTTTTTGTTGTTGTTGGTTGTGGGAGTGGAAATTTTCACGTAACTCTTGTGGCAGTATGCTCTATTTTCGGGACTTTCGGCAACTTTTGTGGGGCTCTTGGGATGACTGGCTCAATGGGGAATTTTCCGGTGCCCCGCCATTAACCAGTTTTAGCACTCACACATCGGCACACACGGATCGGGCACCAAGTCTTTTATTCTTTTATTTTTTTTGCACTCTTTTCTATATTTATTTTAAAATAAATAAAAACTGAACACAAAAACAAAACACTTTTTGCTTATTTTTAATATTAAAATTTTTAATTAAATGTGTTTATTTTGTTTTGGGATTTACTGTTGCTGGAAAGACACAAAGCGGGGATTTTTTTACTTAGTAGATTTACACAATTTTTCAGTCCTTCAGCAGCTGTTTTTTGCTCAACATTATTAAGTTTTTTTTTTTAATTTTGAGGGCAAACCCAAACTTAATGCTTGAAAACAAACAAACACAAAATCAAAACACACACAAAGAAACAGTTTGTATTGGACTCTCGCTCGCACTTATGCAAAAGGGCCAATTCTGACGCACGGCGCAGCTGCAAAGAGCAGGCAGTGCAAGAGAGAGAGAGAGAGAGAGCAAACCCAAAAAGGAGAGAATAAAGAGGAAACGTAACAACAGAGAGCGAGCGCAACAACAAAGCGAGCAAAGCCAGAGGCAGAGCAAACACAGCGAGAGCGTAAAAGAGAGAGCAGCCAGTTGCGGCGCAAACGCAAAAAAAATGCATTAAGTGGAATTATTGTTGCTGGTATTTTGTGGAAGAAAAAAAAACAAAACAAATAAAAAGCAAAACCAAACACAAAGTCATAAAAAGTAAATGTACAACAACATTCGGATTTAAGAAATATTAGTGATTATTCTCCCTATTTATTCAACTTGTAGCACAATTTTCAGTCATAAAAATACTAACAAATATACAACTAATTAAATTTATTTTTTCCTCTTCCTTTGCCCCGCACTCTGTTTTGTTGTGGCTGTCTTCTTCCTCTTCCCTTTAACGCCACCAGTTCTTCTTCTTCGTCCACGACTCTTTATACACTTCTTCTTTACGCTGCCTGCCGCCTGTGCCTATGCTTTTGACGTTGTTGTTGTTGCCACTGCTGCTGCTGCTGCTGCAGAGCGGGCATTAAATGCGTTGAAATGCAGCCATTTTGTCTTTGACAATTGGCACGCCGCACTCCCGATTCCCTATGCAGTTTCCCTGTTCTATGGCGCACTTGTTAGTGGTAATCACTCCATTATATTTACATCAGTGAAATATCTGGCCAATTATTCAGCTCCAATATTTATTTACTTCATTAACATACGGGCACACACACACTCACAGAAACACACGCGCGCGAGTCTGATTTCGACTCCCACGGCGTAAGAAAACGCGCGACGACGACTCGCCGTCCGAGCACCTCGGTGGGGTTTTGGGTCTTCCTTTTCCTTGCTTTGCACTCTGATTTCATTTATTTTGCTTCACATACGCTGCGCGCTGTACTGTTTTCAATATTCGAAAATTCGACAATATTCACACGTTTCGTGACCGCGTTTCGCGCGCGCATAGCCGTCCGACGTGTTCAAAATTTTTTTTGTTTTGATTTCTCCAGTGTGACCGCTGGATTTTCGTTGAAATATACCTCACAACCATCAAAAATATATCAAAATATATGTTCACATTTTAAAAATATACCGTAAAAATATCTGAAATATACCGTAAATATACCGTAATCTTAATCATATTCCACGAATTCGATGTTCCATTTGATTTTACTAGCTTGTAAAGACTTTTTATGCTAAAAGAATCATTTAATCAGATTAAAGACTTAATTTTGCTTATTATAAATACTTCTTTTTATTGAATTGTTTACTTTATAACCTTATATTTTACAAATTTGTATTTGAATTGTTCATTCAAATCACATCCTCTGGAAGCTTGTGTTCAGCATGTAAATGTATGTTACTTGAAGAGACATGTAAAGATCTCATTGAACATTTTTGAAAAAGTGCGCGCGCATCAAAAGAGGAAAAGAAATCTTATTTTGTTTCTGAAAGGGAAAGGGAACGCGAGCATTGGTAAATATTAGAATGAACTCGGAGTGGATTGGGAGGCCGTTCTTCTATATTTACAACATAATTGGGACTAGACTCCGGTATTTACATTGTAATTACTCCTATATTTTGCTAATGAACACCGGATAATGATGAAAAAATCATCATTGTCGTCTAACTAGTCACCGCTCTCGCATGCACTATTAGGGATCGTTTCTACAGGTGCGAAAAGGTGGGAGCTTTGAAAAGGTCGTCCCTTTTTTACCTGTTTTTCATACCTTGCGGTCACATGCCAAAGAGAGGATTAGGTCAGCAGTTCCTCTCTTTCTCTCCTTATTTCTGCGGTTCAATAAGGTCACAGAAATCCCACAGAAATATACCCAAAAAAATGCGTGCACACTTACATATACTGCAAATATATCGCAATTTTAATTCGTTTTTCCACGACTTTGATTTTCTATTTAATATTACTAGCTAGCTCGGAATCTGAGCGAAATAGCTACAATTTTATCCAATTTATCAATCAATTCTGCAAGAGACTGGCTAGCTTTCATGACTTTCTTTTATAGGATTGCTTACAATATAATGTCGATGTAATTATGTAAAGCAAAAACTACCGGCAACTTGACCAGTGTTTAACAGTTTTTTATCGTTTAGCACTTAAATTAAAAAGTTTGATTAAAATTGTTGCTAGTTCCAAATTCTATATATGCTACCGGTTGCTAGTACCTTGAAAAAAATGAGCAGTTGCAGTGGTCGCAAGTTGGCGGCAGTTGTCAAGGAACTGGAAGCCTTTGCGCCGATTTCGCTGGCCGAGAAATGGGACAACGTTGGACTTCTGATTGAGCCGCACAAGGAGCGGGATGTGAAGCGAATACTGCTGACCAACGATCTCACGGAGCCCGTAATGAAGGAAGCCCTGCAGAAGCAGGTGGAGATGATCATAAGCTACCATCCGCCAATCTTCAAGCCGCTGACCAGAATCACCCAATCGAACTGGAAGGAGCGTGTGGTGGCTGCCTGCTTGGCCAACTCCATAGCCTTGTATTCGCCACACACAGCATGGGATAAGAAGTCCGGCGGCGTCAACGATTGGCTGGCTCAGGCCGTGGCCATTGAAAACATTCGTCCGTTGATCCCAGAGTTTGGTGCAGAGCCCGGCACTGGTTCGGGTCGGCTGATCGAGACGAAAATGGAAGTCTCCCAATTGGTTGAGGCCCTGCAGCTGCACATCGAGAACAATGTGCACCTGGCATTGGCCGTGGGACATGAATCAAAGACTGTTGTGCGCTCTGTGGGCATCTGTGCGGGCTCGGGTGCTTCAGTGCTGCGCGGCATCCAGGCCGATGCCATCATCACGGGCGAGATGTCACATCACGAAGTGCTGGATTTCAATCACAATGGCACCTCAGTGCTGCTCTGCAATCACAGCAACTCGGAGCGTGGATTCCTGCGCGTGTTTGCGCCGAAACTTGGCGAACTCTTGCAGGGAGCCTGTGAGATACTCGTCTCAGAGAAGGACCAAGACCCGCTGGTCACGGCTGCACCCAAACAGCAAGCTCAACAATAAATCCCGTCGGCTAACAATGCATTTTCTGGCATCAAACTTAGTTACATTACGAATAAAACGACTAAATGTTAACGTTTAAACTTGATCTAGCTTGAATTTGCCGCCCTTGCTGGTGGCATCATTCCGATGCAGCTGATAGAGGAGACGCTGCTCCAAATGCTTGACGGCATCCACAGTGAGGACCAAGGTATCGTGCTTCAGCATGGAGTAAACATTCAAACCAAATGCAGGCATCAAATTCACATAGCCCAGCTCATCGGTGGCGTAGCAAATGTTTTCGGGGAACATGAAATCTCTGGAAATGCACGAAATTAGTTCAAATATTTTCTGTGGCTCGTTTCCTTCACTCACTTGTCCACAATCAGCACCGATAGCCCCCAATTGCGCTCCGCTATTATATCCTTGATGAACTGTGCATCCTTGGTGGGTATGTCCACGTTCTCAATGATGTGCAGATCGTCCTGGGCCAGCTTCACGCTCAACGTTGAGGTCAGTCCCATCACGCGCTTGTAGAACGGCAGCATGTAGAAGTGAGTGGTGGGCGAACGGGGTCCGTGTACGACGCCGCCGCCTTTGAACAATGGCGAACGTATGGAGCCATGTCGTGCACGGCCCATGCCCTTCTGCGGCCAGGGCTTCCTGCCGCCGCCGCGCACCTCCGCTCGCGTCTTGGTATTGGCCATACTTACATAACGATATTTTCGCTGCCATTCGACGTTCTCCTGGATGACATCCACACGCGGCTGCGCCGCAAACACATCCGGATGGAGCTCAATCAGACCCACCTTGCGCTCGGCCACTGCATCGGTGTTCTCGATCCATGCCTGGCGTGTGGCGTTCCTGTTTAAGGGCGCACATTCGGCATAATCCTGAGGCAATATCAGTGTCGCCGGCTTTGTGGTGCTGGCAGTGACAACAGACTCCGCGGCTACATTGCTCTGGGTGCTGGTCTTCGACAGACCACGTGCCAGTGGAGTCCACACCTGCCTCGATTTACCTAAAATGTTTTTCAACATTTTCGTACAAAATTAAGTAAATAAAAGGCGCACCAATGGGATCGGTGTGGCCGCATTTATCGTTTGATACCAAATATACCAAAATATACCGACGAATGAAACGAACTTAGCCCACTGAGTGACCCTCCATTTAAACACATGAACACAGAATACAATTTTTTGTCAACTTTTATACCCAATCTACTCTTTCAATACCAAAAACACATGGTAGACTTTACTTTCGCTGCCCCAATAATCTTAAAGTTGTATACAGTTCTTTATCGATTTTAAATACCCACTGGTGGATAAAGGGTTTATGATTGATTATCAGTTTTCCACAGTATTAGCTAGCTTCCAGGATTTCCTTTTATTGAAATGTTTACAAAACAAATCACATACGCTGCCGGGTTAAATCGGGCCAACCCGGTTTAGAGCAGTCTGTGTCAGTCATGGAATGCTAGCAAACTCGACTGAGTCATGCCAACCTGCTTTTGTCAGCTGGCAAAATAACTTTCCCTCAGAGCAGTCAACAAAGTTTGGCTGCTGTGTGATTTATTTCGTGACTTTTAACGTGATCCCTCCCATTGGTGTTTTTATACAATTCAAAGAGCTCTTTGTAGGAATATAAAGGAAATTGTACTAATCTGATAAGCTATAATTATGTATAAACTACAAACATATATATAGATGTACATATGTACCGCATAGAACACAAATTTACCTGTACGACAACCCTTTCAACCACCACATTTCCGCACTCTCGCAAGGTGAGGAGGCTGTGCTGAGCAACAACCCCCCCATTGATTAAATGAAAACTCATTTTTCCTTCAAATTAGCAACTGCATCGGCTTAACTTTTCCTGGAACAAAAGGGGTTTCCATGGCAAACGGGTTGTGCCACGCACCACCAAAAGAAACCCCAGCCGGCGGCAGCCTCCAACTCCAACCACCGCGAACATTTACACAATTTTCCCATTGCATTTCGCATTTCCACAGCGTCGACGGCAATGATGTCATTGATTCAATTCTGTTTGATGTTGGGCATGGCAGGAGGAGGCTGTTCGGGGTGGTTTCGCTTAGCTTAATTAATAAGCGAGTTTTCCTGAATTATGTCTCCCGATTTACAAATCATTTGCCGTTGCTTGGGCTCCACTTTCCACCGCTGATCTCATCAGAACCCACAAACGCATAAAAAGCCAATAAAAGATTGCATAAAAAATAGCTGAAGCGAAGTAAAGGAGAAATTTGTTATGCGCATAAAAGTGGGAGCTGCGATGCCGAAATTTGGCACAAACTTTAAAGCCGGAAAAGCGCTTGAACAAAATCAGGCAGGCAGGCAAGAAGAGCACTGGGAGGCTGAAGGGGAGGCTGTAATTCCTTTGGCGCCAGGCCTGTGATTATCGAAAGTAGTTCTTTTTGATGTCGAAAGTTTGCTGCCATCCCCAAGCCACCAGACCCACCAGACCCACAGCGACGTCTGCCACGCATTGCGCCCTGTAGGTGGCAAGTGAAAGCGAAAGCGTTCTGGTCGTGGTTACTCGTCGTCGTCTATTTCCAGCGGAAGCAAATCTGAGCATATAACGGCGCCTCCTCTATCTCTATGTACTTGCTTGGCACACAAACACACAAACACACAGACACACACACACACACACAATCTTGTGGTGGGTGCAAAAAGGGGGAAAGCCCGGAAAAGTGCGTGAATTTGTTGGGCAATAACAAAAACAGCTGCAGTAGAAATATAATTTGTGCAACGACAGGGGAATACTCTGCCGATTGGAGTATGATAAATGATAAATATCGATAAGTAATCGATCTTAGATTAGATCTAAAAGCGTACAGATAATCCTTAGAGAATTATTATGGTTATTCAATAAAGATGTTCACGACCTTTTCCCCCTTGCCTATGTACAGTTTAAAGAATTTAATTCGATTACTTTCGATAACAGCTCGAACCGAAAGTCCTGTTATCCTCCTGGTGGCAGTGCGTGCGAAAGTAAAGTGAAAACTATGCCGCGTAGGCGACGTGGCAACAGCAGCCGCCCAACCCCTGCCAACAGCTTGCCATCAGCCTGCTCCTGCCACCCCGCAAACCCCCCTTCAACCGCATTCACCATTCCGGGAAAACTCTGCTGAGCTGAGCCTCGACTGCGTTACACTTTTCAGCAACTTTTTACATGGCAAACAGGCGCCAACTACAACAACAGCAGCAGCAGCAGCAGCAGCAGCGGGAGCGGGAGCGGGAGCAACCGACTATGTTTCAACCCTGCCGCAGGGCCTAGGCGCCAACATCCACCCACTACACTACACTACAACCCCGCCGCCATGCCCCGCCCCCCCCTGGCCAAAAGTTCTATGTGGCGTGTGCAGCGTTGCGGCTGCGGCAGCAACAACAAAAGCAGCAGCAGCAGCAGCAGCAGCAGTGGCAAGGCAGCGACGTTGGCTGCTTATCGCAACATCAACCAAGCATAAAGCTCAGCCCTCCCCCGATTGTAGCAACCCCCACCAGTCCCCGCATCCAACCCCCCTCCCATTCGTTTGGGAAAGTTGAAAGTGGAAAATTGTGCGTGGCAGGCAAAAGTTTTGAGGCTCCTCCTGACTGACAGTCGGAAGAGTCGAGATGGAGGCGCAACCGGGCTTGCTCCACGGGATCCCACTTCCACCCTCACCCTCACCCTCTCTCCACCCTTTCTTCCTGTTTCGGTTACTGCTTCAGGCTTCACCCATTTACTCTTGGTACAGAAGTGAAAATTAAATGAACAGGAATCATCTGTGCATCATCAGCAACCAACAGAGGGGGGAGAGGCAGGCCTGGCATGTGCAGCAGTAACTCCACCCCCAACCCAATTGTAACACAGCTGGCAGTCATTTATGTGCTCCTCAGTGTGCGTCCTGCCCGGGATTTTGCATTTGAAATTATTATTCCTGGCCAAGGACTCTGCCCACCCCCAATTGGCCCCTGGCCGGCTCAAGTCGGGCCATTTCGCCAGCCGGATTAGGTGACCATGACAATGGCTCGCCTCTGTTTGCTTTCGCCATTCCAAGGGACAGCAGGCATGGCGAGCATGGAGAGCATGCTGCAAATATAGACTCTAGCTTGGAGCAAAAAAGAACTAAACTTTGATCAAATAACTTACTCCTCCTTAACTCCTCCAAGATTTTTAGATAAGACCCAACGAACCTTTGGAACCTGGAAGATAAATCATGCAGGCCCGACTTTGAGCTACAAATAAAGCTGCACCAGTTTGAATGTTATTCAATTGATTTACATAATATATTTTAGTATGAATGCAATCCCTAAGCTTTCAATTGAAACGTCTAGCAAATGAATCTCTTGAGTGAATTTAATTCAATTTAATTTCATAAATAATTATCAGGCAGCCTAGACTCATTTATAATACGAATAAACATCATTGATTTTGTGTTGCATCACAAAATCTGCTTTGAAACTTCTGGCAAATATTTTTAAAATGTGCAAAAATGTAAAATTTTCTTTGGAATTGTTTACCAATTGAATCCCTAGCAAACCCTAATGCAGCTCTGCCCACATGTACTCACATCCTCTGGCCCCGCCGGCGCTGGCAAAGTTTGTCAACAACTCTCGCCTCGCCTTCAGCCAACACAGGAAAGAAATTTTCCTCCTTGGAGCAGAAGACGGATTTCGTTTTTATTTTGGGTTTAAGCGGGAGTGAAACCTGCCCTAAATTCGGCCAAGCGGCTTAAAAGGGAACACAAAAAAAAGCTGGAGCAGCAGGCAGCCTGGGGAGGAAAAGGAAGCGACAGCAGCAGCAGCAGGAGCAGGAGCGGCATAAAGGAAACGACTACGTTGCGTTTTCCTTCGTCTTTAGATTGCAGGACACGACACACACACACATCCGGACAGGGAGAAGAGAAACAAATAGATGGGTATGGGAGCAGGGCGTCCTTTTGTGGAGGCGCAGCACGCATAAATCTAAGAGTCCAAATTACATTATTTTGTCATTTTCATTGGGGCCTCCCTTGGCGTGTGTCCTGCTGCTGCTGCTGCTGCTGCTGCTGCAGTGTCCTGTGCCTACCCGCCAGGCACATAAAACTCTGTCAAAAATAAACTT